TAAAAATTTAAAATTTTAAAAATTTTTTATATAAAATTTTATATTATATATAAAATAAATGTATATATATATAATATAAAATGTAAAATATAATAAATATATATATAAAATAAAAATTAAAAAAATATATTATATAAATATATATTTGGGATATTTATAGTATAATATATAAATAAAAAAAAAAATGATGGGGTTAACAAGAATTGAGGGGGGAAAAAAAGGTGATGGTGCGTGAGGTAAAAGGGAGTAAAAAAACTTACTATGGAGGGAAAAAAGGAAAGTATGAAAAAAAGTATACCAAAACTCTTTTATGGGTGTGAAGCTTGGGGGTGGTAATGCAGCAGCGAGGAACGGGTTGGGGGCAGTGGGGATGTCCGTTAAGGGCAAGTGTGGTGTAAAAATTAAGCAAAAATTTGGAGTGTGGAAATTAGGGGAAAGGGGTGGAGTTAAAAACATTAATCAAGGGCAGAAGGGGTTGTTTGGGGGGGGTTTGGTCATTTTGAGGAAGATCAAAGAAATGACAGGGAAAACATATAAATCTATAGGGGAAGGAAAGAGGGGGAGGGGTCGTCCCGAAAGGGTTGGGAAAGAGGGGGGAAAGGGGGTTTGTGGGGGAGGGGCTTGGACTTCCAGCAAGCGTCATGGCGGGTTAGATAGAGTGAATGGAACAATGATACTTGGGGGACCTGACGATCTGTTTAGTGTGAGCAGGGTAAATTTTGTGAAGGGGTTCAAGGAAACCGGGTTTTTTTCATATAGTCGACTTTTTCCTGGAAAGGAATACAAAGCCCGCACTTTAAAGGGGGGGTTTGGGGTATTGGGAGTTTGGAGGGATTGTTTTTATCTCTATACATATGCTTCAAACTGTTATATCTAGCACCTCCAAAAAACATGATAATTTTTAGTGTGGTGAAAATTTTGAATGATGAAATTTTTCTTTTTGGGGGTTTTCTTTCTTTTTTTTGGGCACCCCGCCTCGGTGGGGGACGACCGACTTGTTTTAAAAAAAAAAAAACAAATTTTAAAAATATATATGGGAAAAAAAATTAAAAAAAAAAATTTTTAAAATTTTTTTTTTTTAAAAAAAATTTTTTAAAAAAAAAAAAAATAAAAAAGAAAAAAAAAAGGGGGGGGGGGGGTTTTTTGGGGAAGGGGGGGAAAAAAATTTTTAAAAAAAATTTGGGGAAAAAGGGGAAAAAATTTTTAAAAAGGGGGGGGGTTTAAAGGGGGGAAAATTGGGGAAGGGAAAAATTTTTTTGGGGAAAGGGGGGGGGAATTAAAAAAAAAAAAAAAAAAATTTGGGGGGAAAAGGAAAAGGGGGGGGGCCCCTTTTTAAAAGGGGGGGGGGGGGGGGGAAAAAAAAAATTTTTGGGGGGGGAAAGGAGGGGGGGGGGCCCCTTTTGGGGGGAAAATTGGGGGGGGGGGGGGGAAAAAAAAAAGGGGGGGCCCTTTTTTTGGGGTTTAAATTAAAAGGGAATTCCTGAATTTTTTGGGGGGGGGTTTTTGGGGGGTTTTTTGGGGGGTTTGGGAAATTTATTTTTTAAAAGGTTTTAAAAAAACCCCCCCCTTTTAAAAAAGGAGGGGGGGTTTAATTAAAAAGGGTTTTTTTTTTTTTTTTTTTTTAAACCCGGGGTTTTTCCCCCCGGGGGGAAAAAAAAAAAAAATTTTTAAATTTAAAAATTTTAATATTTTTTTTTAAATTTTTTTTTTTTTTTAAAAAAATTTTTAAAAAAAAAACCCTTTTTAAAAAAAAAAAATTTTATAAAAAAAAAAAAAAAAAAAAAATTTTTTTTTTAAAAAAATTTTTCCCAAAAAAAAGGGGTTAAAAATTTTAAAAAATATTTTTTTTTAAAAAAAAAAATTTTAAAATTTTTAAATTTTTTTTTTTTGGGTTTTTGGGGGGGTTTTTGGGGGGTTTTTAAAAAAAGGGGGGGGGGGGTTTTTTTTTTTTGGGTTTTTGGGGTTTTTCCCCCCCCCCCTTTTTTTATTTTTTTAATTTTTTTTTTTTTTTAAAAAAAAATTTTTAAAAAAAAAAAAAAAAAAATTTTTTAAAAAGGGGAAAAAAAAATTTTTTAAGGTTTTTTAAAAAAAAAATTTTTCCCAGGGGGGGGCCCCAAAAAAACCCCCCTTTCCCCCCTTTTTGGGGGGGGGGGGGTTTTTTTTTTTTTTTTCCCCCCCCCCCCCCAAAATTTTTTTTTTTTAAAAAACCCCCCCGGGGGTTTAAACCAAAAAAAAAAAATTTTTTTTTTTTTAAAAATTTTGGGGACTCCCTGAAGGCCCGGCAGCTGCCCCCCCCCTTCCCCCTGGGGTAATTGGAGATAGGTACAGCCAAAGGGAGAAAGCCATGTATAGTCCCACACCACCTGCTTCCCATCTGTCCAGGCTTGAAGGGGGGGATGCCCCTCTGGGGCCCCCTTTTGGGTGCCATCAATCTGCATAGTTGGGGTGGCCCCCCCTTACCCCCTGGGGATCCAGCTGTTGTGAGGCCCCCTCTTTAAATGTTATAAAACCCCAAAGTCTTGCAATATATAAAATATTATATATATATATATATATAATATATTTTATATATATATATATAATAATATAAATATAAATGTATATATATATCTATTGTAAATTTTATATAATATATAAATATAAAATATATATATAATATATATAATATATATATAAAATATATATATAAAAATAAATAAATTTTATATAGGTATTATTTATATAATGTATATTATATGTATGTATATTTAATATAGTAAATTAATATATGTATATTTATATATAAAATGTATATTAAATAAAAATGATATTATTAAAATATATATATATATATATATTTATATATATATAATATTATAATTCCCTTTAAAAATAATAATTATTAAATATATATATAATATTTTAAAAAGTATATATTTTTTAAATGGGCAAAACGGTGGGTCGTCTCTTCTACAGAGCGGTCTCCCAGGGTTTCGGTCTCCTCCCGAAAGGTCTGCACTGTACGGGCTCCTCTGAGCGGACTCCTTTTCCCCCCTTTAAAGAAAAGACCTTGACCTCAAACCCCCGACCCCCTTTACCCTCGAAACCCCCTCACCCCCTTTGACCACCTCCCCCCTCGACCACCTCCCCCCTCGACCCCCCTCACCCCCCCACCACCTCACCCCCGACCCCCACCCTCGACCACCTCACCCCCCCGACCACCTCAAACCCCCCGACCACCTCACCCCCCCTCGACCCCCCTCACCCCTCGACCCCCCTCACAAATCGACCAAACCCCACCCCCCGACCCCTCACCCCCGAACCCAAACCTTTACCCCTCGACCACCTCCCAACCCCCCGACCACCCCCCACCCCTCGACCCCTCAAACCCCCCGGGCCACCTCACCCCTCGACCAAACCCCCACCCCTCGCCACCCTCACCCCTCGAAAACCCCCTCACAACTCGACCACCCCAACCCCCCGACCCCTCACCCCTCGCCACCTCACCCCTCGACCACCTCACCCCTCACCACCTCACCCCTCACCCACCTCACCCCCCGACCACCTCACCCCCCCGACCACCCACCCCTTTGACCACCTCGCCCCCCAACCCCCCAACCCCCCCCCTACCCACGGGGCCCCCCCCCCAAAAGCCCCCCCCCCCGCGCCCCCCCCTGCGCCCCGCGAGCCCGCCCGACCACGCCCCGCCAATGCGCCCGCCCCCTTTGCGCCCCCCCGCGGGCCCTTTTGCGCGCCTCTTCAACGTCGCCGGGTCGCCCCCCCCCCCCCCCAAATTTTTTTTTCCCCAATTTTTTTTTTGAATTTTTTTTTTAATTTTTTGTGCTCTCCATCTCCTTGGGGTCAAATTTTTTGGGGACCCCTCCTTCCACCCCAAATATTCCTGTTCCATCCCCGGGTCAAAAACCCTACCCCAAAACCCCCACCACCTTTCACTTTTACCTTCTAAGGGCCAAGTATTTTTTCCCTTTCCCCTTCCTTGGATTTAAGTTTTTTTTTTGGGTTCCTTCCTCAGGGGTAAGGGATTCAAAAGGACTTTCCCACTTGCATCCCAAATTCCCTGCTCCATCTCCTCGGATCAAGTTTTTCTCAATGACAGTAATACAAAGACTCCAATTCCTTGGATCAAGTTTTTGGGTTTCCCCCTGTGGGTACCCCTCCCACCACCCACTTCCACCCCAAATATTCCTGCTCCAATTCTTCGGATCAAGTTTTTCTCAATAACAATAATACCAAGACTCCAACTCCTTGGATCAAGTTTTTCTCAATATAAACTTTTTAAGGGTCTCCTTCCCACTTTCACCCCCATCCCAACTTGTCTGTGTGTGTATATATATATATACAATGTGTGTATATATATATAATGTGTGTATATATATATATATATATGTGTGTATATATATATAATGTGTGTATATATATATATATATAATTATAATATATATATATATATATATATATATATATATATATATATATATATAATATATATATATATATATATATATATATATATATATATAATATATATATATATATATATATATATATATATATATATATATATATATATATATATATATATATATATATATAATATGTTATTTTATATACTTCGTAAGTGTAACAATGGCCAACACTCTTCTCCGATATGTGAATTTGAAAGATGTACCGATAGATTCTCGAAAACCCAGAAAACTTTCAATCACGAGGTCCTCACACTGGGCTAAATCTTTCTGTACTCGGAGATTCTCGGATCATAGGCACTCAGTAATGTCATGCCCATGAAAGAGGTAGTGCCGGCTATAAAGGCTTCACGGGCATCATCGTAGCCAGTTTGTTTTTCAGCAATTCCTCAGCGAGCCAGAGAGGTAATGATTGACACATAACAAGCATCAAATAATTAATAACAGTGAGACTGTCTCTGGTTCACTTGTAAGAGCGTGAAATTTAGCAAAAGGATTTTATTTGATTTTCATTGAGTTTTTGGAATAACAAAAATATTGTCAGGGGGGAAACTTTATTATCCTACAGAGTGAAAATAAAGGTTTTTCTAAACACGATCACTCTTCACATAACTGAGAGCTGTTCCTACTCATAAACCAACATAGTTTAATATAAATCATTTACCAAAGCAAATAAATTATGCTAAATATGTACTGAGAAATGAAAGCTGGTATCAGTAGTGAAGGTTGTTAGAGAGTGAAGGTTTAGTCTGCTGGAGTGTGGAGGAGGACGATGGAAACCCTTCTTATGGAACAGGTCGCGTGCCACAGTCCACCTGAGAGATACAAACACAAGGTTAACAGCAACACCAGTCAATCTAGTTATATTAAGCTCAAGTGTCATATTGTCAACAAGAGCCTCGTCTTTCTTATCAACTGTAAATATTGTCAACAAGAGCCTCGTCTTTCTCATCAGCTGTAAATATTATCAATGTTAAGAGAAATATAACATTTTGTTAGTACGTTCCACAAAAAACAGTTTTTCACATATCCATTTTCCGTAAAAGTGTAAAAAAATAAAAATTAGATTCATTAGTTGTTCTCACAGTATAGACGCTTTGTTACTCTCTCACTTGGTTCAAAAGTTTGAGAATGATATAGTTGCAAAAGTCAAATAAATGCAGACAATGTTACACAGTCACGTATGATGGTTGGTTACTCACGGAAGAAGATACAGACGTTTACAAGGAATTAAACAGTTGATTTAAGAAGATATTCACTGAAGAAAAAGAATGTTGCCAGAATGCAGGGTTGTAAGGGCTAATCAGTATATACTAGATATCATTCATATACCATAAGAGGAACTGATGAAACTACTAAAAGAGTTACACATTAAATGCCATGAGACCTGATGGAATATCATCATGGGTACTGTAAAGAGTGGAAGAAGTGTGTGAACCCATAGCAACGATCTACAACGTGTCCCCGGAGAACGGGAAACCTTCCAGACAACTGAAACACAGCAATATACAGCACTATAGAAACAGGATGACAGACAAGAGGCAGGGAATTATAGGCCACTGTCACTGATATGTATACTACCCACAGTATTGTAAAAGATTGGTGAAGTATCTAGAAGGGTGGATTTTTTTTTTTTACAGAGTATCAGCATGGATTTCGAGAAGGTATATCTTGCTTCACTAACCTACTGGACTTTTACAACAAAATAATAGAAATCAAGGACGAAGATAAGGATGGGTAGACTGTATATTTTTGGATTTTAGGAAACCATATGACTCGCCAGTTAGTGGAATGTGTGAAGTCCTACAGAGGATCAAGAAGTACGTAACAAACGGTAGACAGAGGGTGATGGTATGGTCAGTTGCTTTATATTGGGAAAGTGTAAGAAGTGGGGTTCCCAAGGATCAATTCTATGACCTTTATTATTCGTAACATAAGTAAATGACGTACTAAAGGAGACAGAATTATATGTTTCTTTGTTTCCTGATAACTTAAACCAATGGGAAGAATACAAATGAATGAAGATACAGGCTGAGAGTAAGCTTAGACAAACTGAAATAATGGTTGAAGAAAAGGTTACTGAAATTTAACCCAATCAAGTGTAAAGTCATAAAATCCACTTGTGTACTTAAATGTAAGAGATCTGCAACGAGTTTATTTTCATCAGTGAATTTATTCGAGTCTTCCAACTTGCTGAGTCTGGGGAGAAAATCTTGAGTACAGGGCAATACTGATACTGTATCATCAACATACACTGATAGGCCTCCCGTCTAAGGGATCAGGACCTGACTGACAGCTGTATAATTAATTGACTGAGGACGACATTTCTCTCTTTGTATAGAGTTTTGTCAAGATGAGATTTGACAAAGCTCTACACAGAGCGAAATTTTGTCCCATCTTTAAAGTTTGTTCTGTAACACATATGTTCCTCACTATTGTTGTAGTACGCTTTCAAAAATATTTTTTTCAACATTTTGTTAATCTTAATGTTGACTTTCTCAAGAGCAAGAGTTTTATGGGACAACGTTATCCCTCATAATAAAAGTTTGTTCCATAATTGTGTCTTGTTCATTACTCTGCTGTATCCAGGTCTTCAAGATCTTGCTTACGTCAATATCGTTAATTACAGAAAGATTTTTTTTATGAAAGAGAGAAATAGCCTCTTTTTTCTCAAGATAACATCAGGGTCAGATTTTTCAATTTTTTTATGTTCTCATACTAATATTTTTTGAATCACTGTAAGAGCTGGTAAATCCTGAGAGTCAATTAGATGTATCAAATTTCAGTAGTCACGTGATAATGACCCAAGATCGATCGAAAAGTCTTCTTTACTTTGCTCTTCAATTTGTGGGTTGTCTGTTCATCCTCGATGTTGATGTTTTTTTATTCTTCAATGGATTCTTTTTCGTTTCTTTTAATCGGGGAAAACGCTAAACCTGTAAGGGGGTTACATAATGAGTGAGGAATAGCTCGCGAAATCGTAATAACACGATCGGAAAAAATTCACGGGATGAATGTTTACCACACTGACCGGCGAGTTTTAGTACCCACCTGCCCAGGTTTCACGCTCCCCCCCCTCATTTCCCTGATATATGAGTGGGGAATGAGAGGTAGTCAGGATCGATTCAAGGAAAAGAAGGATAAATCCAGTTCCGTGGATTAAAAGCCCTCAGTGTCATCAACCCGCGTCCCTAGCGTGGACACTCTTCAACAGAGAACAATACAATGGAAATATAAACACAAATGCAGTATAATGTGATCCTTTATTGACAACGTTTCACCCACACAGTGGGCTTTTTCAAGTCACACACAGATCTACCTGGGGTGGAAGGTACGGGAGTATTTATAGTCATGTTCAGAATGTTGAGGTCAGGTGGAGAATGCTGCATCTGATGATCTACCGGGTGGAGTTATAGAGTCTTGGGTAGCTAGGCAGGGGTATTGGACAAGTTGTGAGTAGACCTTCTGCAGTTGTGAGCAGAAGGTCTACTCACAACTTGTCCAATACCCCTGCCTAGCTACCCAAGACTCTATAACCCCACCCGGTAGATCATCAGATGCAGCATTCTCCACCTGACCTCAACATTCTGAACATGACTATAAATACTCTCGTACCTTCCAACCACAGGTAGATCCGTGTGTGACTTGAAAAAACCCACTGTGTGGGTGAAACGTTGTCAATAAAGGATCACATTATACTGCATTTGTGTTTATATTTCCATTGTGTCGGTATTTTATACCATTTATTTCCAGAGAACAATACATTATATCAGTGTATATATCACCATCCTCACACTATAGTTATTCTTTCTTGCAGACTTTGTCTAAAAGAGCAAAAAGGCACAATACGGTGACTGGAACAATACGCAAATAACCTGCACATAGGAAAGAGGACCTTACGACGACGTTTCGGTCTGACTTGGAAAATTTAGAAAGTCACACTAACAGAAAGAAGAGGAGGGAGTATACATAAGCCAACAAACAGGGACGGGACAAGAGAGGTAATAGGAAAGCAAGTAGGCCTTCTGCAGTGTTCCTCCATTCTTATGTTCTTAGTGGAGTCAGTCAAAAACTAAAAGCGGAACACTGAAAGGGAGCTAGGGGCCCACCCTTTGTGGGCCCCTAGCTCCCTTGCAGTGATATTCTTTCTTAGTCTTTGACTCCACTAATACTATTACTACTGCTCAGACTACTACCTCTACCACTACCTCTCTACTTCCTTTCCTACTACCTCTCTTGTCCCGTCTCTGTTTGCTCTGTATACTGCCTCCATTCGTTTCTGTTAGTGTGACTTTGTAAATGGTCCAAGTCAAACCGAAACGTCGTCTTAAGCTCCTCTCTCCTATGTACGGGTTATTTGTGTATACTTTGTCTAACTGTTAATATGTATAATAGTAAGTTATAAAATTATTTCCGACCATCGTGTAACAAACAGAGCGCGTCATCATACTGGTTCTTTGAGTGATTTGTCCAATACTGTGAGATACATTCACTATTAACGTACCTAGTCGGAAAACTCTTTTCAAGAGAACGTTTGTGTTTACGAAAGTGTTTAGTATATCGTACTTATATTGTGTGTGTAGTTGAAGGTATTTAATGTATTTTCCTTACATAGCTTGAGTAGTTGAAGGTGTTTGATGGGAAGGTGCAGATGTTTAGTTCGTCGTCCTTATATTGTGTGGGTAGTTGCAGGTGTTTATCGTCCTACATTGTTAGTAATAACAGGGGTGTTTAAGCTATTGTCCTTACATTGTGAGAGTAATTGCAGATGCTTAATTATTTTCCTTCCGTTGTGTGGGTAGTTGAAGGTGTTTAATGTTTCGTCATTACGTTGTTTGCAGGTGTTCAGGGTATTGTTTACATTGTATGGGTAATTGCAGGTGTTCAGGGTATCGTGCTTACATTATGCTGGTAGTTACAGGTGTTCAGGGTATCGTGTTTACGTTGAATGGAGAGTGAAAGGTATTTCCCTTACATTTTCTGGATAATTGCAGGTTTTGAGTTCATCGTCCCAGAGAAGGGTGCCGGGGCAGTCGTACTCCCAGGCCAGACCATCTAAGGAGCACTTGCAGAACTTGGAACAATCATCAGGGTAAGCGTAGAGCTCAGGAAATTCCCCCATTTCCGGTGGGCATAGGGCAGAGACCTCCGGCGGGCACACCGTTGGTGGCTTTTGTGTGGTGGCGGCGGCTGCCAGCAGTGTCCCCGTCAGTAGTAGAAAGCAAGTCCTCATCTGTTAAAAAGGGAGTCTTATGAAGGGTGAGAAGTGGGGGAGAGGATGAAGGGACAAGGAAGAGGGTAGGACAAGAAGAATAGGACAAGAAAGGGAATGAGATAAGGATGAACACAGTATAAGGAAAGGGGCAGTATAAAGTGTTGAACAATTATTTATATATGTTGCCAGGTTAAGATCCAGTTTGCCAGGCACGAAACACTCCAACCAGTGTTTTAAACTAACAACCAATGTTTTAAACTAACAACCAGTGTTTTAAACTAACAACCAGTGTTTTAAACTAACAACCAGTGTTTTAAACTAACAACCAGTGTTTTAAACTAACAACCAGTGTTTTAAACTAACAACCAGTGGTTTAAACTAACAACCAGTGGTTTAAACTAACAACCAATGTTTTAAACTAGCAACCAGTGTTTTAAACTAACAACCAATGTTTTAAACTAACACACTATCCGAAAACTATGAAAACTATCCAAGGTGTAACAAGGTGTATAAGAATTATAGTAAACCATTCTAGGTATAATAAACCTTCCTAATGGGTAAAAGACAGTGTAGGATCTATGTCAAACCATTCTAGGACCTAAACCATCCGGGACGTAGATGTGAATAATGAAGAACATTAGTGAGATTAACTTGATAATGAGAAAATGACAATTACTTCTTCTTTCTAACATTTCAGTCACTCACCTTCCTAGCTGTGTTTCTAGGTTCCTGTCCTTGACCCACCACTGAGACACTCACCTTCCTGGCTGTGCTTCTAGGTTCCAGTGCTTGACTCGCCATCACCTGCTCTCATATATACGCCACTGAGCTTGGGAATCACCATCTGAAGACGAATATTTTTCTCTTCCAACACCGAACATTATTCTTTTTATGTTTACCATAAGTCACGGGGCACACTTACGTCCCGGTGTTATCTTGTCATGAACCACCAGACATGCTTGTGTTACCATGTTATTTTGTCATGTAGCGCGAGGCACGCTTGTCTCTGTGTAATCTTGTAAAATGAGTCAACTGACATGCTTGTGTTTTCTTGCAGAATGCTTCTTAAGTTACTTTAATCATGGAGTAAACACTGAAGGCAATGAGGACACATTGAGCTTAGGAATGGGAGGCATTTAGATCTCTCCAATGATAGGGAGGTTAAGTCCAGTTTCTGAATCAAGAGTCTCTCACCGGCATCAAGGCAACTTCCCTGAGGGGATGCTACCAGTAAGACTGGGGAGGATAAGAGTCTATAAGACAACACAGCATTATCTGCATTCCCACACTAGTATGCTTGTTACCTACATTCCCACACTAGTATGCTTGTTACCTGCATTTCCACACTAGTATGCTTGTTACATCAGGGAGGTTTGGTCAATTACTGGGCTGTGGGGGCGTAAACCAAAGCAACACCCTCCATGTAGACTCCAGGTAGTGGCTATAGTAAAGACAAAGCTGTAAAGTAAAAGGACACAAGTGCAACTAATGTGACATTTTATTGTGGCAACGTTTCGCTCTCCAGGAGCTTTGTCAAGCCGTTACAAACAGTACATGGACACAGAGGGCATATGTAGGCTCAGAGTGAGGTGCAATACTAGTGGTAGTAGTAGTGACATAAGTTGTTGTAGTAGTAATACAATATGGTAGAGCAATTAACTCGTATATGAGTAAAAGGATATAAAAGCTATTACTTGGGTAACATAAAAATAGGTTAGACAAATACATATAGACCTGTTTCAGTGTTCACTCTCTGTCTAACCTATTTTTATGTTACCCAAGCTACAGCTCACCTCCTCAGTGTCCTGTGCCTCTAGAGACGGACTCCACAAGAAACTTTAAAGTTATAGCAGATTTGGCCGCCACATCTAATTTACGATGCCTTCAATGCCTTCCACTTCCTTCCCCCTTACTACTCCTCCTCTACTGCCAACACCTGCCTCTACTCTGTCTACTCCTGCCTCTAAGGCCTACCCTGCCTCTACCTCTTCCAAACCCAGTTCTTTCTCGCTTAACCTCAAATACTCTAAATCTGATCATGCCACTATCTGTCCTGGAAATTTATTGTACCAGATCACTGGCGCTCCTCAACTGAAAGTCTTTAAAACCAACTCAGGCTTCAAACTACTTCTTGACAGACATTCTTACGAAACGTACACCTCAACCGAGACCAGACAAAAACTTCTCAACGCAGGCTTCACCATTATTTGGACTCCTGAGCACGGCGCCAAATGCACAGTGATCGCAAAACACGTAGACTATTCTCTCCTGACTGTGGAAAAAGACACTTATGTACAGTTCAGGACATTTATTAAAGGAAACGTTTCGCCACGAGTGGCTTCTTCAGTCCTAATACAGAGAAAACTAAGAAAACATTTATATATATAGTGGCAGGAGTCAGGTGAGGTGACGCGTGGGTAGAGGTGGTGGTAGTAGTAGTAATGGAACTAAGGAGGTGAGGCAAGAGAGGGACCTGCTGGCATCAAGTAACACCAGTTCCCAGGATGGGTAATATCCTCTTGCTTAGTAATTTTGAAATACTGTAACTACCGGAGTTTTGCTTTATAGTGTTACTGACAGAAATTAGTGCAGCTTCAATGCATTTTCTCCGTCTTAAGTCGTCTTCTTTAATAACTAGTTTAGCTTCATTGAATTTCATGAGGTGTCCAACATCGTCTCTATGTTGAACACATGCGTTTTTGCGGTCATCATTTCTGCAAGCATTTTTGTGTTCTGCTATTCTAAATGCTTGCAGAAATGATGACCGCAAAAACGCATGTGTTCAACATAGAGACGATGTTGGACACCTCATGAAATTCAATGAAGCTAAACTAGTTATTAAAGAAGACGACTTAAGACGGAGAAAATGCATTGAAGCTGCACTAATTTCTGTCAGTAACACTATAAAGCAAAAATCCGGTAGTTACAGTATTTCAAAATTACTAAGCAAGAGGATATTACCCATCCTGGGAACTGGTGTTACTTGATGCCAGCAGGTCCCTCTCTTGCCTCACCTCCTTAGTTCCATTACTACTACTACTACCACCACCTCTACTCACGCGTCACCTCACCTGACTCCTGCCACTATATATATAAATGTTTTCTTAGTTTTCTCTGTATTAGGACTGAAGAAGCCATTCGTGGCGAAACGTTTCCTTTAACAAATGTCCTGAACTGTACATAAGTGTCTTTTTCCACACCTTGTCGGTATCACCATACCATTTCCTCTCTCCTGACTGCCTATGACACAGACAAAGAAGACTTAATCAAAGACATTAGTACTAAGAACAAAGTCTCTGTTGACGATATTTACAGACCTGAAAACTCTACCATCCTCAAAATACGCTGTTCATCTCCTTCTGACGCCTCTACACTCTTCAATCAAGGAATCCTTGCCAAGACCATCCGCATTCCTCCAAACTCCCTCTTCACTCCAAACTTTCACCCCATCACACAATGTCTGAAATGCTACAAATTCGGCCACGACAAAATCTCATGCACTTCCACACGAACCTGCTCCAGATGTTCAGCAACTGGCCACTTCTGGAACACTTGCAACCTCCCCCTTAAATGTTCTAACTGCGGAGGGTCACACACTGCAGTTGCAAATTCCTTCTTCTTCTTCTTCTGATGACCAGAGCTTTGGTAAGATGGGTAAGGAAGAAGGATGGGTAAGGATGGAAATATTGGAAAAGGGTGGGAGGGGGGGGGAGAGGTAGGATATAAAAGGTAAGTGGCCCAACCACTTTGGTGCAATTTAAAAAGTGTATGTGAATTGATAAGATATTCTTAAAGGGGTATAATACTAACTCATCAGAGTCACATAGATATAATAGGTATATAAGTACATGACTTTGAATTGGTAGTAGTTATACAAGTTGCAATTGCTTTTTTTTATTTTTCGCGATTGCACAACGGATATTTATACGACAAGAAAGGCAATAATTTTCTGGCCGGTTTATAAGTTCTTGACAATAGCTTCTTAATGGTGGTGTCCAACAATAGTCAATAGCATAATTTTACATTAGAAAGTTATTTAAGATGTCTCCCTAGTTGGGGGCGATGATTTTCTCAGTATACATCGAAGGGTTCTGGTGGTACCCAATCTTCTTCATCAGGTAAGTTGCTCAAAATCATAGGTCGAGGGTAATCATCTTTATGAATAAAACGACGAACCCTCTGTGGGAGGGGTCATTCTTTGAGTCCTGTGAGGCGGAGTATTGATGGTGTAATCGGTTTGGTATTTACCACTTGTATAGGATGTTCTTTTATCTGGCATGTATAGTTCTTGCTTGTATAAAGTTGTTTCTTTTTTAGGGTGTCAAGGCGTACATTTATGGCAGTAAATTTTTCTTGTTGTGTGTGTAAATCTGCCATTTTAACTCTGTCTCGCCTCCTGGTATCAGTAATAAAGCGAAGAGCTCTATTTTGGACCCTTTGTAACCGTTTGCATGTTGGTCTTTGTTGTTAATGACATTTGGGGCACAAGGGTATTCAAGTATAGGTCTTAAATTTTCATTTTATACAGATGTTTTTTGACATGTTGAGGGGCTTAATTAAAACGAAAGAGTCTGCTAAGACCGACTTTGGCTGTGTTGATCTTTTTAGTTACATGAGATGTTGAGGGGGAGCAGCCTGTCTATTTCATATCCCCAAAATCTTGTTAGGGTTTCTAATGGCTACAGGTGTACCTCTGATGGAGATACCTCCTTTATCTTCGATGGTTGATGCAAAAAAATCCTATCGTGCTAAAAAAGGACCTTGTCAGGATTAGTCATAATTCTCCATTTCTTCTCCCAATTAGATGTTTGACGAAGTTCAATATTCATTTTTTTTTTATGACTCTCTCATACTTGTTTTTCCTGTTACTGGAGTTGATGGGGACGACATGAATAACATCATCTGCAAACTGTGTCACAATTGTTGTCATTAAACTCCCGGTTGAGGAAGGTCATTCACATAAATGTTAAACAAAGTGGACTGAGACAAGAACCTTGTGGGACACCAGCCGTCGGTATAAAAGGTTCTTTTCGACTTGCCATGAAAGGTGGGAAAGATTTTTCTTTGAGTTAAGAAATTATAAATTACTCTGAGAAAAGTACAGTTATGGTCTGGTAGGTCAATGAGTTTGTATATAAGGCCATCATGCCATAAGCTATCAAAAGCTTTATGAACATCTCTGGTGGCAATTAAGGCAAGATTGCCCTGCTGTTTTAGACTTGCTACAGTGTCAAAAATAACATTTATTGCATGATTGGTACCTCTATGTGTTCTAAAGCCAAATTGTTTTTCAGTAAACAAGTGATTAAACTCCATATAGTAATTCAATCTGTTGGAAATGACTTTCTCAAGAACTTTTCCAGTGACTTCAAGTAAAGATATAGGTCTTCGAGAAAAGACATTCTCTCCACCCTCAGAGAAAGCCAACCTCCCTCCCTCCCCAACCCATTCCCTGCACCTCCCTCCCCTTTCATACCTCCCTCCCCTACCCCCAATGCCTGGGCCTCCCCACGCACTTGGTCTACCTCTTCTACTTTACACACATCAAACACCAACACACAGACTACAAACACTTCTCCTTCTACACCTACACCCACACTAGACTACAAAACTAACTGTCAACTCGCCACTGCTGCCCACTCTGCGATGGTAATCTCACAAGCTTACCAATCAGACTATTCACATGTCCTTAACCTAATCTTGTCTGCTAACAATCTTCCCTCTTTAATTATCCCTCCTTCCTGCTTCTCTTCTAAGCCTACTACAACCTCTCTCCCTCCCCCCACTTCCTACTCCAACCAGCTTTTCCTCCTCCCCTACCCTCTTCACTACTTCCACACCTCCACCAACACCCCTACTCTGCTGCTGCTACGACCACCCCTCCCCCACTTCCTCATCCCCT